ACACCTCTAGTCTATTGTCAGTATTTTAAAGGTATATTATTTAAATGATAAAGGTGTGCATGATTTTGAAAAAAGAATGATTATCAGCAAATTATTGTAAGGACTGCTGCCCGCAGCCCCCCCCCCCTCCCCTCCCCCCGACTGCTACGGCCCTGAGAAGTAATAAACCGAAAAACATTTACCGATTTACGATTTGTTTTACGTTATCCATGTAAATGCCGTGATTTGGTAAATCAGTTTAAACCAATGGTTTATACTGACAATACCATTTTATAATATTTTCCGAATATGTTAATTCTACAAAAGTTGGGGGGGGGGGGTGGTTATCCCCCCAATACCCCCCTCGCTACGGCCCTGGTTGCAACTGTTCATGCGATGGCATTATTGGAGTTAGTATATTTATTTAATGTACGTAACAACGAGCGAAGCCTATATTTAATATCGAATAAGTGAATGTCCAGATGCTATGGATAGGAATTTGATTCATGAAAAGATTTAAGAATGCAACACAGCAATTTGATCCTGCAAATTCCAACTTAGTACTTTGGTATTTACAGTAGAATGGAAAAAAAGGTTGGTAATCTCTATAGTTGCTTCTCATGAGTTATGGTTAGTGTAAATTGCAGACAAGGGTTCCTATAATCCCACCCAAAATCCAAATTACCTGCGCAGACTGCATGTCTACATTTCAGGTTAGTTTAGTATCGACTGGCTGAGTCTAACCATATATGATATGAAAAGTGGAGTGAAAGCAATAAGACATCAAAAGTTGACCAAAGTCCGTTAACCAATTGCTGGGAAACTGATGCTGCTGAAAGCCAGCATTTGCTCGAAACACCTTGCAAGTTTAAAAATTCAGACTCAAATGAACCATATATACTTTAATCAATTCAATTACTAACACTTATACAAATGTGTGTGTTCTATATTAACAATATTTGGTCATTGATAGAAAACAATTAGCTTTAATATTATTACATTAACTATATAAGTGACACATAGCAAACAGTTTAACTAAATCCCCGTAGCATTTATTTAAATATAGTGTATTTTGTAAACGTTATTGTGCTTAGCAATGCCAAAATTCATTGTGGGAGAAAATATTTAAAACATACAGAAAATCGACAAAATACCCAAACAAAATTTTCGCTTACTCATGCATTAATAGTAAAATACATATGGCAGCATATTTATTTATTTATTTACAAGAGTATACTATTATTATTCCACGTGCAATGTCTGCAACTTAGAAGTCTCATTTTGAGGTCATTTGCATTATATTGTGAATCTGAAAAAAGGGCTTGAACTGAAGAGAACGCGAATGATGAAAAAATATGAATAAGAGTTTTATTAACCAATTAAGTCGCATTGCGCTCTATTCTGTTATTTTACTCTTTCCAACTGCATACGAATTTACTCATCTACTCGTCAAGGGAGAGCGTTGGTGCGTTCAATGGGTTAATCAGGCAACCTAGGTAACCCATTATGTAGCATCGCGCCTTAATGCGCCCTATACATATTATTTTGCTCGGTTTAACGCTAGATTATTTTACTGTGTATAACGCCTGAGGATTTTACGTACTAGTCAAGGGAGAACGCTGGCGCTCAATGGGTTAATTAATCTCCAGCAGATTAAAACGTTCTTGATAATCACCCTGGCCGTAATTAAAATTCATATCCGCTGACAAGTTTTCTTCGCAGAAACAACCCCACTTTCGGCCGTCATTTTCCCTCAGGCCGAGTCTCGCGCGATATTTCCCAACACAGCTGGTTGCGGGTAGCACATCGTTGCAATGTTGATCTCTCTTTTTTTGTACCAGAAAATCTATAGTGATGCAACAAAACAAAAACAAATTTAATTTAGTAATATAAAAACAATGATTTAGTGATCCATCTTTAGTTTAAAAGTAGAATGGATTTATAACAATGCGGACAAATTGCATGCAATTATATTACAACTATCAGAAATTTATATATGTACAATTTCACAGGGAGCAGAGAAGCTGAGTTTGTGTAGAAAACAAGACAATCACCGTCTTACCTTGTTAATTATAATATATTTCAGTGTCGAATCCCAATGTTCGTATTAAAAATGCATATTTTATTATTTATAGTCTGTTGAAATTGTCGTGAAACCACACACACGCGTAAAAATTGAGAAAATCAACAACTTGTTCCAGGTTGATATCAACAGGCGTGAACAAGGTTGTGCGGCCCACTATCACAGTATTGTCAACATGTTGTTACAGCATTGTTCAACTGTAACAACTTGGAATAACATGGTTGACAACTTGTTCATAGTTGGCCGCACAACATTGTTCACGCCTGTCGATATCAAACTTGGAACAACCTGTGCGTTCTGAGCCGTGTAAACAATAAACAATAGAGAGGTTAAGATACTTCGATTTCGGTGTAAGGGTACGAGTAGCATGATTTTGGTTAGCAATATTTTCGTCGATGTCTGTACCTTTACTCGTAATTAAGGCGCGTATTTTTCGCATTATATCATTGTCTATTGCAAGAAAACAGAAAAAGTATGATCGAATTACAGACATCAGTAAAACAAGATGACACTACTCGTACCCGTACACCGAAACCGGGGTATCTTAACCTCTCTATTGTATGATTGTATATTCGTACATCATTGAACACCAACTGAATATACACCGCTGTTGCATATTATTGTGGGCTCACATTTCGCTAAAATGAGATTAACAATAGGAAACGAAGGGAACGTACAGTCATTGGGGTGATATTTTAGGATGGCTATAACTTAAATATTAAAATGTTTCATTAATAACATAATTTTTTGTATACAATCTAGAAATTATCTATTCTTACTACGCTAAGAAATAAATTTCAATAAACGGTCGTTTAACCTACATATTTGACGGTCGACCGATATTCATCGATTATTTTCGTACAATGTGCACCGCAACACCATGTGACGGAAGTGACGTATTGTTTCGAGTTGATGCATGATTGATTCAAATTTGAATTGTTTCGATTATGAAAAACTAACATCAAGACTAAATATGAAAATTCCATATAAATCAATAAATGTAAGGTGTATGAACGGTGGAAGTCAAGTCCGTTCTTCGCATCGGTTCTGCTCATAACAATGTGAAGACCTCTAATGTGAACATTGCCCAAATTTCGAATGTTTCGAATTTTTCTGAACATAAACTCTATTTCATATTCATTCAGAAGCATAGCGAACCAAAATGGTTTAGATATTCAGAGAGTACATCATATTTTAAAAAATACAGCAGTTCAAAATGTAGACAAACCGTTTGTTTACATTACGGACTTGACTTCCACTTTAAAGTAAATATTTACTGAGGATTGCTGAATGAAATGTTTTACTAAGTTAGATACAAAGATATGTTTGTCTCTGTTCGAAATTTTCAAAATTATTTCCTGGATTTCAACGATATTCATCGCATGCCGTTTTAAATTAAATCTCTTCATGTTTCAAATAATATTTTACATTTTCAAATAATATTTTACATTTACAGTTGTTTATTGTATACGTGAATTTGAAATTCAAAATTCGATAACTAATTACAACTGTCAAATGAGGTTATAGGTCAATGCGTCTTCCGGTTTTATTCACTTCCGTCATAGGGCGTTTGGTGCACATGCGTCGAAAGATCTGCAGTGTTTCCTCTCTTTCTTCGTTTCTTATTCGTTGCACTCTCGGCCAGTGTTCGTTAACTTTTCGGAAAATACGAGTCTATGGTAATGCAAGGCAGTGGAGTGTATTAATATTGAAATTCATATTTTGGTAAATATACTAGTTGGTTTATATTCGATCATTTTGATGAATAAACTATATGCATTTTTAATGCACACATCACACATTGGGATTGTACAATGAAATATATTACACTTAACAAGGTAAGACGGTGATTGTTTTGTTTTACTAGACAAACGCGACTCCTCTGCTCCCTGTGCAATTTTGTAAAATATTAGATATAAAAATTTGTAAAAAATTATAAAAGGTTCGTAAAGCTATTTTAAGTTTCGTGCAGTCTCTGTCTCATCACTAAGGGGACAAAACTATAATTCCTGCGTCGTTCGGTACCAGAAAGCGGTATGTATTTTAATCTTCCGTTTCTTTGTCTGAGATTATAGTCATGTTTATTATGATTTATAATTTGTTGATAAAAAATATGATGTGGGTATCCTGTAATAGTATCACGGTATCTTGACGCGGCACTACTTCTTCTCTCTTCGACAGTTGTCAGGTAGTTATGCGGGAGGCCAATAATTCGCAGGCTCCTCATTTGCACGCGTTCCAATTCATACCTTAAATACTGTGGCAGATCGCCCACACTGGGAAAAAGTATTCAAGTATATGCCTGATTTTGGTTAAATAGGTTGTTAAACCCACTTCAACTGGTAATTACATTCGCTCTTCTGCATTCTCTTAGGCAGTATAGAGTTGTCTCTTCAATATGTTTGTTCTATTTAAGAGGAGATTTTTTTGTATGTTACGTAACACGCGCTCAAAACTAATGCGTATACTATACCACTTGAGGTTATGACTAAATTCAAAATTTTTATTACGATACGTTTCTCAATCGGCAAACAAACTTAAAAAGTATGTTTAGTGCTTTATCTGTAAAATAATGCTAAAATGAAGAGATTTTAGATGATACGCCAAAGAGAAAATGATGTCTGAATTTCAGTAAGTTTTGCTTATATGGCTGTAAATATGGCGTCAATTTTAAAGCATCATTGATAATTGTATTTTATATTAATTGACAATTTTTAACTATTATTTTATGTTTCTCAACCGGCAGATGCATTTAAAAAGGTTGCTAACTCTATAAACTAGAGAATAAAGCTAAAACAAAGTAATTTTGAGAGGAACGCAAAAAATATTTTAGGTTTTGAACACATTTAATCGCAAATACTTGACATTGAAAAAAATTGCCTCTTAAATCCTTTTGTAACCACGTTCCCAAAATAAAATTATCGACTCTTTCTATTACAGCATCTCCTATGCGCACGGGTGGTGGGGGTGGTTCTCCCGAGAAGCTGATCCACATATCTTTTGTCTTCTTGACATACAGTTCCATCTTATTCCCCACCACCCAGCTATGGACTGAATCTAGAGCGTTATGTAAAATGCTAGATTCTCCCCTGTTTTTTATGGATATATCCATTGTGCAGTCCGTACATTTTTCTGTGTTGACATTAGCCTGTTCAGGGACGTTATCCTCCATATCATTGATTTGTATGTTGCATTTAGGTCGATGAAATGGCTGATTCCTGAGGAACGCCGGCTGGGCATGGTGCAATAAATGATAGTGCACCTTGGAGGTATACAGTTGTGTTCTTTCCTCAAAAAAACGAATTATCCATAGCCAGAAGCTCCTTGTTACGTTCACACCGGCAAGCTTATCCAGGAGGATCTTATGATCGACCAGGTCGAACGCCTTTCGGAAATCAATAAATAGGGCGTGGACATCTTGTTTTCCGGTTGAGGAGTTGTCGGTTGAGTCGAACCATATCTGAGATATGGTGGTAAGGGCGGACACGGTTGAGCGACCGCTCGTAAAAGCGCGCTGATTTTAACTTATTGAGGTTAAACTGTGTCTGCTCGATGGCCTTGGCTGGTTGTGGAAGCACGGAATCTTGAAGGAAGTCACTGTCTAAATCTGTGGGAGGTCGGATTTTGTGTATCGGACGTAATATGTCAAATGCGACTACGAGGACTGGACTAGATTTCAAGTCCGCGCAATTTGATCATGTCTGTGGCGAAGCCGAAGACTGGATCAAAATGCGAGGACTTGAAATCTAGTCCAGTCCGAGTCGGAGGATTTGAAATGACATCTCGTACGAATAAGTCACTACTTAGTTAATTTTGATCCAGTCCAAGGACTGAATATACTTCATCAGGTATCCAGTATTATCATGTGAACAAAATAAAAAATAAAGCAATATGGTTGGCTAATTTACTCGTGAATTATTAATGAGTTTGAGGTGGGATGTTTGCATTGAATTATTCTTTTATCGTGGACCACTGGAGCTAGTTCTTCAATCTGCATACCTTTTAAGACATCATGCAGGGATGTTATCCGCACCTGTGGCTTACCTAGGACGGTTTTGATTTGGCCAATGGATGGTTTTAGGACGGTTTTGATTTGGCCAATGGATGGTAGAGGCGGGGGCTATCCTTAAGCAGGTGCTCTACTGCGTAATGTCTTGGAGGATCTGATTGAGTTTCTAGCCAAGACTTAATAAACCTTTTTTGTAGTCTGTCAGCGATTGTCGTTAAGTTCGCATGGTCAGGCGAGGACATAGATCATTGATCTTCGGTTACTGCCGCTAACTTGTAAATCGATTTATACCATTTAGCCCTCAGCCTTGGATTTATAATACGTAACTTTCGTGTTGGATATCAACTTAGTGACTATAACATGTAAACTTTCACATGTAAACTTTCGTTAATGCTCTCTGTCTTGCGGTTGTGTAAAACTCAACTTGGGGGGGGGGGGACTATAAGATTTTCGAACACAGATGAAGGGAAAGTTTCAAGAAAGTCAAGAGTTTCAGAGGAGGTCATATAATTTATGCAAACACAATACATATTTAATTAATTCCCCAGCTCCTTCCTCCACTAAGAGAAAAATGTTTAGGGTTGCTTTTTCATATCCAAATATAAGGTTATCATTTTAATAATTTATTAATATAAATTATTGTAAGCGTTTTAGCTAAGCAATAAATTATTGTAAGCGTTTAAGCAAATTAACCTAAATATACAGACTTACATTCACACAATTTAGAAACATTGCACATTAGGTCGGGTGTCCCCCCTTGACACAAATAATGAACGCTCCCTTACTACTTTTTTTATACAACCGGCCCCTAGGCTGATCATCAAAACCACTGTGAAGTAATAGTGAAGCCGGAAGTCACCGGTGAAGTAATATAGTGAAGCCGTAAGTCACGGGACCGCACCCGATTCTGGGACCCCACTTTTATATAGATTTGTATTACAGTATAGTAGTTTTTTGCGTTTTTTGCCTTAGCCACGTTTCTGACCGGGCCAGTTTTGCAATCACAAAGATCGAAGCATATACAAGACGAATTTTGTGCAAAAAATTTGGAGTATTATGGCAACGCGATTTACAACTTTGAAGGAGTGGAGAGCCACAGACTTCGTTTACAACATGAGCTCGTTTTGCTACTTTCATACAAAATATATCAACTTAAAATATACAAGAATTACTGTTACTGGACGAATATTCGCAGGAAATTTGAAGAAATGAAGCAGCTACATTGTGAACAAAAGCGTACCGAGGTTAGTTTTAAAATACCTTCAGGCTACTATTATAATTATGTGAATTAAGGAACTGAAATTCGTCCTTTTTCGCCTGTTTACACACGAATTCGTCCTGTTAGGGGGCCTCAAATTCGTCCGGTTCCGTGGTTCTCGTGTGTTTACACGGCCGAAACGGCCGAATTTTAGACCGGTTCCAAATTCGTCCGGTACCGTGTAAACAGGGTCTAATAGAACATGCAGGTTTGTTTAGTTGTTTTTTTTCATAATAATTCCACAGGTGTCTTGTGTAGCTTCTTTGTGCTTTAATAAAATAACATCTCACAATACATTCGACCAGGTTGTGAATGTAAGGTGAACCACATTCATAACCTGGTCAAATGTATTATGAGAGGTTTATTGTAAAGTCAGGCTATATCATCTTGGCAAACAAGCCACACAAGATGCCTGTGGAAACATTTATTGTCATTTGTCAATGTCTTCCCACTTTAAAACATATAAAACTCTCGACAAGTTAAAATTGACATTTAAAACTGCTTAATTCATATAATTAGCCTATAAAAGTAGGCCTCAAGGTATTTTAATACTAATCTCAGTACGCTTTAGTTTTGTTCACAATGTAGCTGCTTCGTTTCTTCCAATTTCCTGAGAATATTCGTCCAGTAACAGTAATTCTTGTATACTTTGAGTTGATTTTGTATGAAAGTACTGTAGCAAAACGAGCTCGTGCATGTTGATAAACAGAGTCTGAGGCTCTCCACTCCTTCAAAGTTGTAAATCTCGTTTTGCGGCGTTATAAAGCCATAATACTCCAAACATTTTGCTCAAAATTGTATGCTTCTATTTTTGTGACTGTAAATCTGGCCCGGTCAGAAACGTATAGCCAAGGCAAAATACGCGAAAAACTACCATACTGTAATACAAACTTATACAAAAGTGAGGCCCCAGAATCGGGTGGGGCCGGTGACTTCAGGCTTCACTTTTGCTTACTATAGATGCAGTCTTATTTCAGATCAGTGATCAAAACGCATACAATTTTTCTTAATTTTTAAACGACAGAACTTTTAGGCTCCGATTGCACGAAGTCACGTTTTTAGCCGCTGGATATGAAATAAAAATAATAGTTTTTATGCCATATAAAAATATCGCTGTTTATCACTAGTGGCAATAAAAAAATTGTTTTTGTTACAGAATCACATTTAGTAGATGCACGGAAGAATATATTCAAATCACGTACCATGAATATGTGGAATGATGTTATTGAAAAGCTATATTGGAAGCTATCAAAAGCTATTTAAATAAGTGAACTCCGATGAGATGGAATGATATTATTGAAACTAATTGGTAATAAAGTTATTAAGCGTGTATCTCATAAAAACACACTTGGTATAATTTTAGAACGGGATAAATGACCAAAGTAAAAGATTTTACTAAATATCGCTTTACTAAGGAGAGCCAAGGCCTATAGAGACACGCATTGTTGAGAATGAATGTAAAAAGCTTCATAATTCACGATTTAATTTCTGGCTACTATTGCTCTAGCCTCCTACGCAGGCATCTCGTGGTTCACTTACTTTACAAAGTCGGTGAGATGCCTGCCAAAACCCGACATAGTTGAGACGTTCTGCGCATCTTGCTTGCGCGGCAATTTCAATTTCACTTCACAGGGTAGGTTCGTTGGGAGGATTTTGCCATCCAATATGGCGGATTGCATGGAGTGAAGAATTATGAGAATTAGTGAATTACTGGCGCTTAACCAGACTGACTTATTAACAATACATTTTTTTATTATTTCATTTTAAAGAACTTTTAAAATTATATGTAAATCTCCTTCATCGATTTTGCGTAACTTTATTGTTTCTTGAAATATTTTGACTTAAAATAAAGGAAATTGCTAGATAGTATACTTCAAAATAAGGTTTCCGTTTTTATATCAATTTTTTTAAATAAGTTAGGGTTAGGTTAGGGTTATGGTTAGGGTTATGGTTAGGTTAGAGTTGGGGTTAGGGTTAAGTTTAATATTAGGGTTAGAGTTTAGTTTTGCATTAGGATGGTTTTTTCTACGTTATAAAAACGGAAATCTTATTTTGAAGTATACTAACTAGCAATTACCTTAAAATAAATTTGCTGTCCGCCATGTTGGATTAATTTTTATATCGGTGATTTTAGTGATGTCAAAAGCAGGGTTAGCCATATAAAACTACATCTAAATGACCAAATAACATTAGGTCTTGTTTGAAAAGTCGTAAGACAGTTTTTTATTTCAAATAGTTACTGAAGAATATGATTTTGGGCTCATAATAACCAATTGCTCTATGAATAAAATTCTTGCGTGGCCCTGCTTATGATGTCACATACATATCCGCCAAATCCCAAGATGGCGGAAAGCTGGCTGATTTGTGATTTTTTCTGTTCAAATATCTCAAGAAATAATAAAGTTACGCACAATCGGTAAAAGAGACTTACATATAATTTTAATATATATAGTCATAAAAAATATAGTCAGAGTATAGTGTAAACTGTAGGCCATGCTCATAATTTCGCTGTGACTTATTTTTTAAATAACATGGGTTCATATCAGAAATTGCATTGAAAGTTTCAGCAATTACTGCCTATTTGTGTAACATGGCCTTAACATTAGGTTATTATTGGCTATTACATGGAGGTACGTGGATCGAATCTCTTTTGATGGTGTAAAGACATGGTATTTTTGGCAATTTTTAAGTGACAATCCAAATTTTTAGATGGCTGTTTGAAATTTTAGTCAACTGGATGGCAGGCTGGTTAATACTATGCAGTAATGTAGAATAACCTTGAGCGTAATAGCCAATATAATACAGCAACAATATAAATTGTATAACTTTGTTTGATTGAAAACTATTGAATATGAACACTTCTTACATTTGGTCAACTTGCATGCACCATAGTTGCTTGCACATTTGTGATACAGCACTGAGCAGTTTTCTGTTTACATAGCTTACATGTACTCAACAAATCCCTTTGATATTTCTCGCTAACGAGTAACGTACAGCGTAAAAATAGATTATGGAATTGTAAATTTGAAGTTCGTTCTTTGCTGAAATATCTCAAAATTATGCAGACAAACCAATTTTAATGCCACGTCCACTAATTTATAACAGTAAACGACAATTCCAAGAGGCAAGAGCATCCATTATCCAGTTGAAATTTCGACATTTAGGCCTACCACTCCATCTGCCTTCTACGAAATTTTGTTTCCCAAAAGTATTAATGTGATGTTATATGATGGTAAAAAACAAACTCGATGGTCACTAGTATGATATACGATCAAATGCGATATTTCAAAAAGTAACGCATTTCGCTACATATTTACAAAATCTGCCAATCTCAACCCGAAAATCACTTAATTAAATCTAATAGTTGTCATAAACGTGCTTGTAGAAAATTGGAACAGCACGATAAAATAATTAAAGTTCTATTACTAGTTGGGTTTATCACCCCCATTCAATGTCGAGAAAATGCGGCTCGTCGCCTGCACGTTTTGTGTTGAAAAACAGCTCATATAGGGCAAAAATTTGAATTCAGGGAATTGATTTGAAGCCAGAATATTTAAAATAAGCAAATATTTTTAGCATCTTTCACATTCATTCACTATCAATCAAATACGTCACGTGTTTAAATTTATACCTATACTATCAAGCAAATGCCTTCTACGTATAACTTGAAAGACATAGCTTTTTCGGAGGTAAACAACATATTATTTGCATGTTACTGATTTATTCAATCACATGGAGAAAAGTCGCCGACAAGAGGGACAGAATTGCCGACAAAATTGCTAGTGTGAAACACGCTTAAATTAGTAAAACCGTACCTGGGAGGTAGTAACTCTCGCCTAGATATTTTTTCACATTTCCTCGCGGGCGGCGATAGAACGTATACCAATTAATACCATAAGAGCCTCCTCCGTGGATTCCTCGTGACAGCGCCATTAAAGCAGGTGGTGGTAACGGAACCGCCCACATGTTAAATTGGGCCACATGACCAACAATAGTGCCGTTGTTTCGATCTTAAAAATAAGAATGTGAAGTTAGCATGCTTCTCAATGATCATTGCATAGTTTTTAAGTTATTCATGGCATCTGGGACTCGTAAGGCCCGTTTACACTTGCAATTTTTGCTGCGATTATAGGTGCGATTTTCTTCTCCTGATGTATTTGAACGATGGATGAGTTAGGAATGTTCAGATGAGGTGATATACTCAGAGCATTCATAACTTATTTTACTCGTTCACATCAATCAGAAGAGGAAAATCGCACTAGAAATCGCAGCAAAAATTGCAAGTGTATATACGGGCCTATAGTCGAGCACCACTGCATTCTGTTACAATATTATGGTCATGCATATTTACTTTTTGATTTGTCTTTTTGGTAGCTTTGTATCCTAATTTAAACTAAATCAATGTATTATAGTATAATTGTTAACATATTTCTGTTCCAATGAAGTAGCGAATTTTTGAGATAATACCAATACAGCGTTTGTTTGTGCCAAATGTGAAAGATATTGTTCACCAATCAGCGACGAGCTTAAATCACTGGCTTAAATATTCAATGTTGTACAAAGCAAATCAAAAGGGTGACTACAAAGTTGATAGCCTATAGCTACCACTGAAATGAATAATTGGAACGCTACTTTCAAATAAACTGCCTAGTACCTTTTTCTTGAAGCTAAATCAAGACCCGCGTGTTTATCCTCGAGCCGGGCGTAAGCCCGGGCCGAGTGTAGTAATTCCGCCCGGCTATTTACACCCGGGAAAACGAAAGCATTAGCGAAGTCTAAGGTTCATCAATAATCGCGGGCGTGGGTTACCGTGCGTGGTTCGGTGGGTGGCCATCTCACTGATCTCAAAATATAGCTGTTTGCCAGGAGTGAAGAAGGCAAAAAATATAAAGAATACATGTAGAAAGGCTTGGAAAAGCGTTTCACATAACAATTGTAAATTTTTTTACCATTTTTAAACGTAAACATTGATAAGAATTGATTTAGTATGAGAAATCTTAAAGCATAGCGGAAGTTTGTTTCAATTGTTTATGTATGACTTTGTATTAATATAGACTTTGTTCTTGATGTTCAAGTCATTCCTATGAATTGTTTGCGAAAGTTTCTTAGTTAAATTAACTTTTGTAGAAGTTCATGATAAAAAGGAAAGCAAATTATTTTCATTAGCGTCCTGTGCGAATGAAATTTATTTCATTTCTAAGTGCGAGTAATAAGTTAAACCTGGAGTTGAAGAGTTTATAAATATCGGCGAAAAGCAGTTAATAATTTCAATTCACATTTAAAAACGTTTAACGTAGAGTTTCGTTTTGAATTTTACATTGAAATAAAGCCCACATAGAAACCAAAATAATATACCTACATTATATATTTTAGAAATTGATAGTTCTACTTCTGTATATTTAAAAGTGTTCAAATTTCATCTATTTTTTGCAGGTTTGTACAAAAAATTAAAAAAACAAATAAACAATTGTCGTGTTGCCATGACTAACGTGACGTGGCAACGCGAGCCTGTGTTCAGTGTTGGCGTGATTACGAATATTTCATGTTGAAACAATGTTTGGAAAATATAGGCGAGGGGTTGTTGCATGCATGTTTTTCTTGTATAATGATTGACTGATTGAGTGCTCTTCCAATGCGTGAAAAGAAAAAAATCTTCAATCCATGCGGTGTACTTGTTTTGCCTAGTCTTTACATCACCGAAATGTTGCAAGCTCGATGCTGATTGATTAATCACACGGTGGCGTATCTGCTCCGCATGCAGATACAAAAACTAACAAAGTAACAGACTAACAAACGTACCCAGGCTATATAAGGGATGCCAAACGTCGTTTGGCATTGTATTCATGATCAGTTTAGAGTAAAAGTTATACAGATTTAGTCTTAATTAAAGGACAATGGCAACAAAAATTGTTATTGTCTCATTTGAATGAACATTTAAAATTATGTATATAATCTTGTTACAGATTTTTCATGTAGAGCTTATAACTCTTGAAATACTTTGACTGAAAACAATGAGCTGCCCGCCACGCATCTTCGTAGTCTATTAATACTATTATTACTACTTTATTTCAATACGGAACTATTTCACATATAAAACTAATTATATATACAGAGAGAAAACACATTAAATGAGTGATCTTCCAATATGAATACTTTCGTTCGAAGTAAAACTTATTTTTGATAGATTGAATAGTTTGAGATCTTTTAAGATCACAAGATGAACTATTTCTTGAAATTAGTGTTTGGTTTAGGTGGAAAATAATTTTGCACCTTTTTCGTTCCGTGATTGTATACGTCATCGGTTCTTTGAAATAAATTTGATATGGAGCGAGGAATTCCCTTGAATTTCTGACTTTAATCGTTAGTGTAGAGAATTGCTGGTTCCTACGAGTCTCCAGGTTATTAATGTTTAGGTGTTGTAGAAGTACACAGGGGCGGACATCATATCCACACTTAGTGATAATGCGGGCAGCTCTGTTTTGTAAACGCTGCAGTTTATCAGAAAGTGTGGAGCCGAGGCCGCTCCATACATGTGAACAATATTCAAAGTAAGGTTGCACTAATGTTTTATAAGCAATTAGTAAAGTTTCAAGGTCTAAGAATTCTCTTAACCTTTTTAGTACATTCAAACCTCTGTTCAAACAACTATATAGTTGTTATTGCGTTCATCTGTTCATTCCAACTTACCGTCTCATCTAACTTTAGACCCATTGACTTAATCGTTTTAACTTGATTGATTTTTCTGTGCCGACATAGATTGGAGGATCTGTTTCTATTAAATTTAATCTTTGATAAGATCCTACATAATCACATATTCTGTTTTCTCAGTATTTAAACTGAGTTTATTTACGGTCAGCCAGTTAGATATACATTTTAGGTCATTTTTAGTGCGTTTGTAACAGTATTCATGTCATTACCAGATGTACCAATTTGGCCATCATCAGCAAACATGTTATACTTAACACTATTTAAGCAATTGGGGGAGGGGGATCATTTATATACACTAGAAAAAACAGGGGACCAAGAATTGATCCCTGTGGTTTTGTGAGAAAACTAGGGGACTAGGGCGCGGGAAGTTTTCGGATTTGAACTCAGCGTGCTTGAACGTGAGTTCCCGTACAAATATTTCAGTTCCAAGACATGCTTAAAGGACAATGGCAACAATTTTTTTATTGTCTGTATTCATTAAGCTTACTAATGGAATATTTAATTTCATATTTTTATTTGTCCATTGCATTTAGTTGTTCAGAAAATTTGCGAAAATGTTTAACAAATTTTAACAGTCGTCCGCCATTTTGGGAAAATTCCGCGTATGCTAATTTAGCATGAATACATTTGGTGACGTAAATGGCAGGGTAAACGCAAATCCCACAATAACAACGTTGTGATTTGGAAGAAAATGTTTACAAAAAATTTACAGATACACTGCAACGTGTATTAATAGTTCAATAATGTGTAGCAACTTACTACCACAACCTCGTACCCAGGGTATTTGCTCTTGGGGAGCGAAATATCCTGGTATGGCCTGGTCACGTGACCCGCGGATTTTGCGTAAAATGGCGTATTGTTTACTAGGGTCGGGGGAGTGAGTATATATTGTCACAATTAATTAGATTGCTCTATAAATATAAACAATATCCATTGAATCTTCAAAGAAATCGTGAAAAGAACTGCAATTAAAAAATAATATTTATCGTGATGTAACTTTCTACTCTATAATCTAGTGTCGAGTTACAATTCAAGCAAGTTGGATCAGATTTCAACTTATAGACTTGTCTGCTGAGAAAGCACGCGTGGACGGCGTGGCAATATAAAGCAGTACAAGAATATATATATATATATATATCTAGACCGAACAATGTGGTTATTCATTTATTTAACTGTTAGTAAAGTATATCTAGATACTCGAACCAAAAGAATTTATTTATTGAAGAGATGTGGCATGGAATTGCAACGAAATAGCGAGATCTTTTGATTTCCGAAATATCGCCAAGACGCCAACTGCATGTATCCACAGGGGCGTAGGAAGCGGGACTAAAAGGACTAAAAGTGCCCTTTTTTGTGATAAAAAGTGCCCTTTTTGTGTTGAAAAGTGCCCTTTTTTGTGAGGAAAAGTGCCCCTTTTGTAGAACGGCTAATGTCGCTGTAAATACTAAATTAAAACAATAGGTGCCGTTTTTGTGTGGAAATTTACAAATTTTTTTTAAAAATTAGGTCACAAACATAAATTTCGGTATGATACGACGGAAAATTTTCCTCAGGAGAAATTTCTCCCCGCCCCCCCCCCGTCGACAACATTTCCGGGAAAAATTTTTTAGGTGCCCTTTCCGATAGTAATGTGCCCCTACAAGCCGGTGCCCCCCCAAACTCCAGGTGCTTCCTACGCCCCTGTGTATCCAGATTGTTGACTAAACCTTATAAAAAACTTCCTGCATTGGCCCTTGGCATTGCTGAAACTCAACAATCATGGTATATGTTAAAGTCTAGCTGTCTGTTGAAAATCATACATCAAAGATAAGTCAAACGACAGTATACTCATTACTATATTATGTCTTTCAAGGCACTTTATATTAATAGTAGTGTTTACAACATTTATAAATTTTATAAACAACTTTGTTTTGACACAACTCACACAAGTTTAAATTTTTTGCTTTATGTATATTCTTAATAATACAAGTGAGATTTAAATGTTTTGCTTTGTGGAATAGAATACCGTTATTTTTTAATGGACAGCTTGTGATCGTCTTTATCATATCCAGGATTGCTTGTAAATGCATATATCACTATATGACACCATCAAATAAATATACAAATATATTTGAGAGCCTTGTTTTTTAGAGCATATTAATGACTAATGAACTAGAAATAAACAGATGATTCACAATGAAAACTTTAAAAATGTTAGTAGAAGTAGAAAACTCGAAAATTTATGTTTATTCGTATGACAGTCTGTGCGCGTCTGACAC